TTTAGCTCAGCGGCAAAAGCGCCTGCCTGGCATGCGCAAGGTCGTGAGTTCGGTTCCCGGTACCGGAGAAAAACCAAAAAAAAAAAAAAAAAAGATCCAGGATGTGTGGGGCCCTGGAGGGACCAAAGATGGGCTGCAGGAACACCCACATCCTCAAGAAGCACATCTATGAGGAGGGTCAGTGCTACGAGAAGGGTCCCTGGCAGTGTGGGTGCTGGGATGAAAGGCAGGACAGGGGATACTGGGGCCCAGCTACACTCAACCATGTTCTTGGCTTTTGGTCCCAGGCCAGTGCTTGGGATGGGACCACTGGCCCAGAGGCCCAGGACAGGAGGACCAGCACCCTAGTCAGGCAGTGAGGGGACAAGGACTGTGGCTGTACCAGGAGCCCTGGAACTGGAGTGTGGAGCTACAGGGTGAGATTCCATGGGGTCTGCCCACTTCAGTCTATATGAGAACACTGCCACATGCTTACACCTCTAAGAAGGAAGGACTCAGGTCACCCTTCATGTGCCAGCTAACTGGGGGCCTCAGTTTCCCCACCACTGAGAGTCCATGCAGCTTGAGGGCAGCAGCTTGCAGGTCCTGGGCTTGCCATCCACCTCGTGGAGGTCCTGCCATGCAGGCAATCCCCAAACCCCCTACTCCTACTCCAACTACGTTAGGAATGCACAAGTCCCCCCAGCTGGTGTGGGAATGCCAATGACCCTCGGGCAGACCCAGAAAGGATGGTGTCACTGTGGTCACTGTGATGACCTGTCTCCCTCGAGCACACGCATGCGCCCACACCCAGCTCCAAGAGGTAACTGGAGTTCCGCTTCCTCACCAACCAGCTGCGAACTAATTACAAAAAATTCTAACTAGTCAAGCTCCCTCTCCAAGCATATGTTCCCAATTAAGCCGAGCTGCAGCTGATTTTAATCAATCTTCCTTGAAGCGCCGACTTGAAGATACTCTCCTCCTCCAGAGGGAAGGAGGGAGCAGAACAGGAGACAGCGTGGCAGGAGAGGCACTCCAGTGAGGACATGCTGCCCGCTGGGCTCTCTGTCCTGCAGGTCTGAGGTCTGCATGGAGAAGGCCTGGGCTCCCAGGCACTGTGGCCAAGCTCCCAAGAAAGGCCCCAGGCCAGCACTCAGGACAGTGTTTTGGGCCTGCTTCCTGAGGACCTGAGGTGTCCAGGATTACGACAGAAATGTCATGGGGACAAGATCTTTGCCCTCAATGATGGAAAAAGTGGGGAGAGCCAGTAGACAGGAGCATTTATTGAGTACCTGCTATGACCAGGGGTGGCAGTAAAATCCTAGCGTGTGATCTCCCTAAGCCCTCTCATGTGGCAACTGCCTCAATTTTATGAAGAAACTGTTGAGGGCTCAGGTGGAAAATCCAGTCTCCCTGAGCCAGACACTACCTTCCTCCCATTCTGCGAGAACCAGTCTCCGAGAGAACCTACATTACCATCTGCTCAGTGGGAACCACCTCTTTGATCATCAACAGTGCTCTGCACTGTGGCTCAGGGAGAGGCATCTTCAGAGTCCAAGGGAAGGAAAGACAAGGGGCCAGCTCTGGTGCTGGAGTTAAGCAGGAGTTGTCCCTCACCAGTGCCACCCTGGTGTAAACCTCTCACTGGCCCAAGCATGACCACAGCTTGGATTATGTAGAGCAGCCCAGCTGGAGGGGTCCATGACTGCCTGTGCTGGCAGGGGGGTGTGGCCCTGGAACTGAGGCCGACGACCTGGGGATGACACTTGGGCTGCCCAGGCCATAGCTGCTGCCAGGCTACCCTCACGGGAGGTGCTCTTACAGGGGTGAGAGAGAGGAGGGGACCGGGCTGCAACACAGAGGGAGAAACACAGCATTCAGCTTCTGGGCAAGGTCTCCTCACCAGGGAAATGGGCTATAGCACCTTGCCCAGCACAGTGGAGATGGCCAGCTATGGGCTGGGGGCTTGGACCACTACCAGCCTTCCTGAATGCACTCATCAAGGGTAGCTACGGCCCTGGGAGCCTCTGGAGTTTGGCTGAGCTCCGGTGCTGCCAGGGAGAAGAAGGCAGCTCGGCACTCTGGGCAATGAATGGAGTCAGGCTTTTTGCCATGGCCTCCAGGGAGGGAAGAGAGCAGGGCTGCAGGGCCATAGGCAACCTGGCCCAGAAACAGGCAGAGGGAGCCTGCACAACGGCATGCCAGTACCCTGGGCCAGCTGAGCTACCAATGGGGCCTGTGCAGTTATCTTCCCCAGTGAGTTCTGGGAAACCCACTTCCAGGAGCATCACTGCAGCTGGCAGATTTTCTAGAAGCTCCCATCACTGCAAGGTCAAAGCCTCAGCTGCTCCCTGCCTCATGCCTGGAGCTGAGCTCCTTTCCTCCATGCTGCCTGGGCACAGTCATCCCCTTGCTGGCTGGCCTTCAGTGTCGCCTCATGGAACAGACACTGCTCTCCAGGGCCACTACCCAGTGCTCTCTCCTCTCAGCCACACTGGGGCACCGCTCTCATATGTGCTCAGCCCTGTGTGGCCACTGTCCCTGTCTGCTTGTGGGGCCCCACTCCACTACAGATGTGCAGGTACACAGAACAGGTGCTAACACTCATGTGAAGAGCAGGGTGTGCAGCACGCTGGCCTTCAGGCCAGGAACCAGTCCCTAAGCTCTGAGCGGTGCCCCCTATCCGGGCAAGGGCCCACCCCACCAAGGGCCCTCCTGGAGGTGTGTGGGAGAGAGATGGCACACCTTGCTAGTTCCACTCTCCTGTTGACCCACAGGCACAGAGAGCATATGTCATGTCCCAGCTGATGTGCAGTCCCCCCCATAGTGAGGATGCCCAGAGCACCCCACAAGCAGAGGATGGAGTGCCAATGTACACTGAGTGTGCACAAGTGCCAGGCAGGCACTCAGCTGCACCCCTCATCTAATTTGCTCCTCAACAGCCTCTCAGAGGCCACTGGAGGTTGCAGTGGAATAGCCCAGAGCCACAAAAAGGACAAGGGGTGCTGGCGGGGATATATGACACCCCAGTCTGCTGTGAGCCCCAGTTCTGCTCAACTAGCCAAGCAGAAAGGCATTCAACCTGCCCTGACAAGGCCCACAGCCCAGGGCCAGGATCTACCCTCCAGCCCCCAGCCGAGGACTGTAGCCCAATTACAACAGTGCTACATGACAGGTTCTAGGGCCAGTACACAGTCCAGCTACAGCTCAGAGCACCTCATTGCATCAAAGCTGTCACCTCTCCCATCACCAGGAGCTGGGCGATTGCCTCTAATAGGTGCCAAGATAAAGTCAATGACCTGTCTGAAAACTGGGTAATCTCAACCCTGTGGGTTTCCTGCTGGAGAACAATTTAAATTGGCAGGATGAAAACTAAAAAGAAAGTCAACCAAAGTGATGCAGACAGCAGTCCAATTTCAAGATGGTAGGCCGATGCAGGGCCTGCAAACTCAGAGCCACATGGAGGAGACCCCTCACCCCCAGGCTCTGAACCTGTGAGCTCACTCTGCATGCCTGGTGCCAGGGCTCCAAGGACTGCAATCAGCCCAGAAAAATGAGAGAACCAAGGGCCAGAGGAGGACTCCAAGACATGGCCAGGTAAGGGTGGGTGTGCAGGAGCAAGTCTCTGGTTTGGTGACAAACAGGATGTTCTCAGGCAGGAAGTGGTGATTAGACCCAAGGCAAGATGCACCTCCCCAGAGCCGCCCCAGTGCCTACCTGCAGAGTGCGCCGTTCCAGCTGCATTTCCAGCATGTTCTTTTCTTGCTGCAAGCGGCTCCGCTCCCCCTCCAACTCCTCAACCTTCAACCTGTAAGGCAAGTGAGATATGACAAGGGAGCCACTAGAGCCTATGGGCCACTGAAGAGCTGAAGGCAAGGCTCAAGAAGTCTAGGACTGGCGTCAAGAGAAAGTACACCATCTCATAGGCACACTGCGGCTCGGACAGGTGGGTCTGCCACCAGCTAGTCTTCTCTACTCACAGCTTGGCTAGAGGCACAAGGAAAAAGTGACAAGAGGAAGGGCCTATGGGGATCCATTGGGTCCCACATCCCATACCCTTGGAGCATGTGACCACACATAGGAGAAGATACCGAGAGGAAAATTACCCCCAAGGAGTCATCAAAGAGATAAAGGGTTCCCCAGTGTGGGGCAGGGTGGAGCTGACAACTGGGGGCCTAAGAAGAGGCCCTGAGATGAGCAACAAACATGGATGCTGGCTGATTTGCAGTCTGGAGGGCAAAACAGACCCTTGGCTGAGGTAGGAGCACGGCAGCCTCCAGCTTGCCATAAGAAACTATTCTTGTCTTTGTTACTAAGCTTATTTTTTAAAATACGAAATATCCACATGGTTAACAAATCAAAAGGTCTGTCAAGGCTTATGGTGGTGGACACAGGTCACCCTGGGCAGCTGTCTGAGCCACCTGACAAGGTCTTATGATTTGGGAAGGTCTTGACTCATAGTGGGCAGACAGACCTGTGCCAGGACAGCCTGGCAAGTAACAAAGCGTGACTCAAAAGCACCACACTCTTTCCAAGAAACTGAACCACATCTCTGAAAAATGATCAAGAATATTTATGTGAGTACAAAATTATCCAGAACTCAACAAGCTGAAGTTCATAACACCTGCCATCCAAGCAAAAATTACCACGTGAAAAAAGCAGAAAAAGTTGGCCCACAGTGAGGGTGATAACCAGCTAAAACCTCCCGCAAGCTGCACTGGCATTAAAACTGGCAAGCAAGGCCAATAAAAGGACTATTCAGACTATTGGAACAACAAACCAGTAAAGTACACATACGGAAGGCAGAAAGACTCAGTCAAAATTCTAGGCAGAAGCAACAATGTTGGGGAGCAAACCACATGGAATAGGACTAATGGTGCACTAGACTCTGCAAAAGAAGTGTTTCCTGTACAGGAATGCACAGGAGTGGAAACTATCCAAATAAAATGCAGACAAGAAACGGAATCTACAAATGAAAGGAGAAGCAGTGAGCTGGACAGCTTCATGAAGCACAAAGGCTGGGGTCCCTGAGGACAGAGGGGACACAGGGCATGAAAACTATCCAGAAGTCAAACTTAGAGACAGTAAAAATGAACCAGGAGCCCCAATGAGCCCAACACAAGAAACACGAGGGTGATGGCCCACAGCAGGTAAAGGGAAACTGCAAAAAGCCAGGGACTGGGAACTACTACTAGGCAGAGACAGAGCTCCTGAAGAAGACACAGGTTCTCACCCCACAGTACCACTGGAAAGACCAGGAGACAGCTCTGAAACACACAGAGAACTAAGAAGCACCAACCTAAATCCTATACTCAGGAAACTGCCTTTAAAGAACAAAAGCAAAATTAAGAGGTTTTCAGACCTACAAAGACAGAATTCATCACCAGCAAACCGACTCTCCAACACATGTTTTGGGAAGCCCATTGGGAGGAGGAAGATGATAGCAGAAACAAGCATAGCCTAGGCATAGAGAAGAGCAGTGAAAATAGGCCACATGGGGAACATGTGTTTTGCATATTATTTAAATCTTTCCAAAATATTTAAGTTACCAGCTGTATTTTTTAAGTGATCAACTTTTAGACAAAACTAATAAACACATTGAGAAAGTTTAAGAAACCATATAAAGAAAACATATGACAATAGCATCAAGTTCAAGGAGAAGCCGGCATCAGCTGTGCAGTGGCTGTGCTCTCCAGGAATACCATCGCTTGACAGTGGACTATTCTGTGTCGGACATACACTCAAATCCACAGATAACAAATAAAGGCTAACAGCCAAGACAGCAAAAGCGAAAACCTCAATTAATTTCAAAAAGAAATACTGAAAAGAAAGCAGCAAAGAGGAGATAGACTATTGGGAAAAGAAAACAGTAAGATGGCAAGATAGAACCTAATGATAGTGGTAATCACATTAAAGTAAATGTAAATAGTCCTACCATTCACCCCAATTAAAAGGCAGAGACCATCAATCTGTGTTAAAAGGGGGGTGGGGTGGGCTGTGCATGTCCAAAGGTCCTAGTACCAAAATCAAATGACAGAAGACAAGAAGAGAAATTGGGGGCAATAAATCCCAGAGCACAGACCATCTCCAGGAAGGTCATTTCCTAACAATGGAGAGGTGCACTCACTGAATGCAGGTAACTGCGGAACCCCTCAGGGCTCCCTAGAGAGCTGCAAAGAAATACAGCAAAATGGACAGGACAACAAGGGGAAACCAAGTCTACAGTCACAGTCACCTCACCCTCACCCTCTGCATAAGTGATGGACCCACCAGCCAAAACCAGGGTCAGGCAGATTTCTTGACACTCTCGGTCAGCCTGACCTAAACTATGCTGGTACTCAGTTCGTGAGACCAGGTTACACTCTCTTCTCAGTGTTCTCTGAATATTTTCCAAGACAGCTGTATGTTAAGCAGTAAAAGAAGGTTCAATAGCCCAGATGAAATTGAGTAATTCTAAGTATGTTCTTACTATATTGGAAATAAATGAGAAATCAGTACCACAAAGATAGCTGGAAAATATCACTTACAAATGCATTGAAAACCATAAAAACTAAGATAATACAACGAGGCCACAGAAGGTCTGCACACTGACAACTGCAGCGTGCTATTGGATGCTGAGATGGCCCTGAGTGTGGACAGGAACACCTGTGCACAGGTGGGAGGGAGGCTCAGTGCTGCCAGCAATACACTTCTCCTACATGGATCTGCAGAGTCACACAACTGTGACTGTCTGCTGTAATCTACCCTTGCTGTAAAAGGGCAGACCCACATGAATAACAGTGGTCTGTGCATCTGAAAGGGTATACTTGAGCTGACCACGGTGGCACACTCCTGCAGTCCCAGGATTCTGGGAGGCTAAGGTGGGAGGATCAAAAATTTGAGCACAGCCTGAGCAAGTTAGTGAGGCTGTCTCAAAAAAGAAAGGGCTGAGAATGTGGTTCAGGGTGATGGCCCTGGGTTCAATCTCTAGTACTCAGAAAACCAAACCAACCCAATCCAGCCCAAACCAAACCAAGCCAGGGTATTTTCTTTTGCTGTCCTCCTTTTCAGGCAAACTCTTACAAAGAAAGATCAGCAAGAGTGAATGAATAAATATAGTCACATGTGATATTACACTTGGGCAACAGTTGTAAAGTGTTGCTCCCATCAGACAGTGTCATCCAGTGACAGCGGAGTGGCTCAGTTCGCATAAACACAGCCCGTGTTGTTCACACAATGACCTTTGGCCCAATGGCACACTTCTCAGACCTACCCCCTCACCAACCAATGCATGGCTGTATGTGTATACACATTTGTTCACAGTTTTTCCTCAAATGATCCAAAGTAATCAGTTCTGGCCTAAGATTCTGGAAACTTATTTCTTCTTTTTGGAATACTGTGTATGCTATTAAACTAGGAGATTTCCCAGATTGCTTCCCCAGAAGACAGCCAATCAAAGCAGGTAAGTGCAAGTGACTGTGTGTGTATACGGAAACCAGCTGGAAATGTGGCGTTGTTATCTTGCTTAAAATACTTACAATAACAATATCATGTACACTGGGAAATACTGACCAAAAGAACTGTTTGCAAAAGACTAGGCAGTGTGGGGACAATGTTGCAGGCAAAGCTGCAGGTGGCCTGGCAGGACAACATGTGGACTGAGGACCTTACACAGACTAGTCTCCTCCTGATCCCAGACTCCTAATAGGCCCTAGCCACCTGTTAGATAGAACACACTGTTTTCCATTGAGTTCTTTAAAAACTGTGCCTGTGGGTGGGAGGACACTAGGGACTGACCCCAGGAGTGTGTTAGCACTGAACTATATCCTCATCACTTTAAGTTGCAGGATCTCAGAATCTCACAATTCTCCTGCTTTAGCCTCCATCCTAGGCATATGCCACCATACCTGGCTTAAAAACATTTCATAAATGATGACAAAAACAGTACCATCATCTGATGAGATTTTCAGTGTGGGCAGACGCAGAGCACTGATGCGAGATGACCAGAAGTGCTAAGACGTCCACTGGAAGTGGCAAGGAGGGGAACGCTCTCCATAGTCCTAGAGCAAGCACAGATGTAAAGCCAAACTGCAAACATGAAAGAGCTACATTAAAAAGGAACACCCAAAGTTGCTCAACAGAAATAATCCAGCAGAGAGTCACAGGCAGGGGGCAAAGGACTGCAAATAAATAACAAATAGCAGCAACCACATGCAGAGATGGCCATGGTGGGCTAAAAGGTGACCTGGCTGCATGCTGTCACTGCAAGACCCTGTCAAAAAAGTGGACATAGTAGGATAACATCTACAGAGAACAGGATGGCAATGAGTCCACATGACAGGCCAGTACTTGTCCTCCAGGCTAGAGCTGTGCTTGCCCCAGGGCTTGCCCCAGCACAGAGGAGCTGAGCAGCACTGCAGAGGAGTTGGCCAGCAACACCTCCATGGGGCCACCATGCTCACCATCCATCCATAGTGCTGCCTCGCCCTGTCATGAGCTCTCTAATACAGTGAAGTGACAGGTATTCACCTCCCTGATCTTCTGTCCAAAATCCACAATCTCAGCTATGAGCCACAGCAGACATACACAGATCGTAGACACTGGGCTGGCACTGTCAAGGCTACAGAAACTGAGAGAGACTGAGACTGTCACAGAGCATGGGACATGAAGACCTAATGGTTAAGATCAGTGTGTACCTGGAACTGCACATGAATGGAAAGATGGGAGACCCAAAGGAGGCAGGAGATTAGCTGACAGTAACCAAGCAAGTGTGCATGGTGACGCAGATGCTGAGGGCGAAAAACTAAGTAGCAACCTATGGGAACTCTC